TTCAATAAGAGGACTGACCGACAGACTGACACTATATCTTCAAAATTTTGTTTGACATTCAAAAGTGCCTGTAAGGGTTCATTGGAATAAATAATTTTTGACTTTTGACTTTTAAACAAGGAAAATCGCAGTTGGATGTTACCTAGTCCCCTATTCTCTCAGAGAAATCCATACTAGGTCCATTAGCGTGGAGCAAATATGAAGAATATAAACTCTAGTAGTACAACATTCTTACAAATTTCCATAATTTATAACTATTATGGGATAAGTCGGCAAACGAGAAGACCAGCTATTACCTGATATTAAGCATTCGGCGCCGCCCACGGACACCAAAGGAGTTACGAGTGCGTTGCCGACCTCTTTCGATTGGGGAGGAATTGGGATGGGGAAGGATTGGTCCTCCAGCGATCTCAGTACGCAACGAAACACAACGCTGTGGTTGTTTCACGCCGGTTATCTGTGAGGCCGTGGTACCATTCGTACTGAAGCTTGACTCTCCCACACATATCTTTAAAATATATATTTGAAATAAAATAGCTTAACATTTTCAAACGACGACACAAACAAAAAAAAAACAGCCTGTTTATTGTTTATTTTTTTTCTTAACTTGTCCCCATATTAACCTGTAAACACCGACGCAACAGCAAAGAATGCGATTAAGGGGTATGTAAAAGTCATGTGTAGGTCATAATGACCGCACGCGGCGACCGACGTGTTAATCTGACCACAAGGGTCGCATTAATATAGCTTAGGACACTGACACAACATTTTAGGGTAAATCATACGTTTTACCCGAAATTTCATGCAAACACACATATCTAAATTATATATATTTTTAGTCTAAAAAGTTAAAGAAAAGCTTGTACTTAATTTGGTAAAGTAATTACATTTTGTATATAGATAATACTCTCATTTCGTGACTGGACCTCGACAGGAGTGATACCACGGCCTTACAGAGGACATGCGTGAAATAACCGCAGGGTTGTGTTTCGCAGTGGGAATGAGGTTACCGGAGGCCCAATCTCTCCCCCTTCTACCCTTCACCCCTTAATGTGTCAGCCCGTCAACCCTCATAAGGCCGGCAACCTACTCGTGACTCCGACCAGAACCATGCCCGAGTGTACGGCGCGTAGCGTTTCGCGCGCGCCTCAAAGAGCCAACAGACCACCAAAGACGGGGCCCTAAAGGGCTGATGTTCAGCCGGGGTTGCGGGGTAAGCGCAATGAGGCACCGCGACTTCGGCCCAGAGCAGGAGAAGGAACAGGGGGGTTTTTAGTCAGTAAGAGTATGACACTCCCTTCCGCCCGGCCCTGGGCGGAAGAAGTCATTTGATGATTTTCCCCTGACAAAAAAAAAACCTACTCGTGACTCCTTTAGTGTGGCGGGTGTATAGAGACGCGCTCCTAGCGGCGCATTGAGTAACTTATCAATGTTACCACACACTAAAATTCTACCTTTGAAACCTACTTTTACTTCATACCTAATAATGTTTAGCACCCCAATTACCCATTTAATAAACTGTAAACTATAAAGTCATTAACGTGGTCGTAAAACTAAACGTGTAACCCTTTCAGTTAACGCTGCCAGTGACCGCAGTTTATTATTTAACTGTTAACTCGGTTTATGTTGAAGGGTAACAATTAAAGTTAGTTTTTAGAGTTCTGTATAGAAAGGGTAAAAATTGGGTACTAAGACACCGCTGGTCATCCATCTGTTCGTCTGTTGTGAGCTGTGATATCTAGACAATAGACTTTCTTCCTCGAGACTAGTGTGGGAGAGCCATGCTTCGACACGAATGGGTCGGCTCGACCGTAGTGATACCACGGCCTCACAGAATACCGGCGTGAAACAACCCACAGCGTTGTGTTTCGCCGTGTGAGTGAGGTTACCGGAGGCCCAATCCCTCCCCTTCCCCTATCCCTTCCCAATCCTTATATCCGCAACCCCCATCCCCAAAAGGTCGGCAACGCACTCCTAACTCTTTTGGTGTTGCGGGTGTCCATGGGCGGCACCGATTGCTTACCATCAGGTTATCTGCTCGTTTGCCGACTTATACCATAAAAAAGAGACTCGTCCTTCTCCATCGGCATGTACACTTTGGATCGAACAAAAAGCTTCACTAGAATCAATACTAGTTTTTACTGACCAAAACCACTGAGGCCTTGATACCTTTTTGCGTTTAATCAGCGATGATATTATTTATATTATTATATTGCCGCTGTAACTATAAATAAATGGGTATGAACAAATTATACATAAATATTTAAGGGGGACAAATTAAATCAAAATCATTTATGCCAACTAAACCATAAATATGTACTTTTGAAACGTCAAAATAGAATAATATTAGTCTGTCAGTCTGTTCGTCAGTGAAGCTAGGTACAATTTTGGGAGAAGTATGCTTCGGCATGAATGGGTCGGCTCGACTGGAGTGATGCGTCGGCCTCACAGAAAACCGGTGTGATGGAACCACAGCGTTAAGTTTTGCTGTGTGAGTGACACGCCTTACAAGGTCACCCGAGGTCCAATCCTCCTTCCCATGCCATCAATCCCAAAATCAACTAATCTCATATCCCTAATCTCGGCAATGCACTCGCAACTCCTCCGTGGTCCGGTTACCCATGGGCGTCGCTGATCGCATACCACCAGGTAATCATCATCATCAAATAAAAAATATCACTTAACAAAAAGAAAATACAACAAACTTGATTTTGATATCAACGCAACCCGGAGTCGCGCGTTCGAATCGCAACTGGCCGCTTTTTTATTATCAATTTGTTTTACGATCATTTTAAATGTGGTTTGTAACGTTTTTACCCTTGTGACAGTTTTAGAGCCTTTGGAAAGTGTTATTCTTGTTTTGTCCTATGGGATTGGCTTATTGGGGTATTGTTAAAACTTCTTTGAAAAGGTAAATTTCTTTGAAAGTTGATATAACATATGACAATAGGGATTAGAAAAAGATATGGACATTAAAAATACTTTTGTTTATATTTAGGCACGTAACAATATCACTACACAGTATAAAACAAAGTCGCTTTTTCTGTTCCTATACATTTTTTTCTGTGATTGGACGACAAACCGGCAGATGACCATAAATACCTGCCGCAACACCAAAGGAGTTACGAGTACGTTGCCGGCATTTTAGTGAAAAGGGTTTCTGATATTTAGGGAAAAAAGAAATGGGGGGAGTGGTAGGGATTGGGACTCCAATAATCCACAACAAACGCTCTGGTTGTTAAACGTCGGTTTTCTGTGACGCCGTTCCTTTCACACCGGTCAAGCCGACACATTCGTCATTCAAACTTACCCACTTATTGTACATATTGTTAGATAGCTTCTATACTTAGTAACATAATTACAAGCATGAAAGTAATTAAAAGTTAGATATTGGTAATGTTACTATAATTTCTGCGGTTATATACTAAAACCACAGGTTATTGTGACTAACCGCATAGTTAATCGAGTATACCATATTATGCCGGAGGTTGAGGTTATAAGCTCAATAATGTACCCCGGCCTGAAGCAGGAGAAGGGACGGGGTGGTTTTTAGTCAGTAAGAGTTTTACACTCCCTCTGGCCCCACCCAGGGCGGGGGGGGGGGGAGGCATTTGATGATTTTCCCACCTCAAAAAAGAAAACCATATTATAGATTTATTTATTCAAAGTATAATAAAGCAACTAAATTTCTCAAATAATTATTAATTCATTGTATATTTTTCGACATTCCTTAGCCATTTTCAAGTAAAAAATAACTTCTCTAAAAGGTTTAAATATCTACTGCAAAATTTGGTTTTTGCGCCATCTAGCATTATTTTTTGGAAGCAACTAAAGCCAGTGAGTTTTACTCAGACTAGAAGTTAGTTCTTAATTTTAAGTATAGATGGCGTTGTTAGTGCTTTTCGTTTTATTAGTTAATAATGTGTAAAATAAATTTTCAAATGCAAACCACAAATAGATGTCTGATATGGAACTTCTCGTCTTATTTAACTTACAAATCTTTCATTAGTAAGTAGGAATTCACATTACTATTCAACGTTTTTTGAAAATTATAGGCAGGAATGTATTTTTTTCAGTAATCCATATAAAAACTGTATTTTATTGTTCCTCTTACATATTATAAAGGAAGAAATATGTTTATCAAATTGTGTTTAGTCAAAATAACTGCCAGCATCATCATAAAAAACAGCCACAAGAAGTACCTAAATAAATAAAACACGGACAATAATTAAAAAGTCTTTATTTCAATAATATTTACACAAAATAATTATTTAATAAGATACTAAGAAATAAGCAATTACTTCTACAAGTGCCTAAAATATATTTGAATTCCATTTATATATTTAGGTCTCAAAAAAATTAGGCCAAATACCTTTTTTATCTAATTTGAGAGAATATCAATAATACTGTATTATATATTTCGGACGCAAATAATAAATCTTATGTGGCTATAAAATAATTATTTCATATTTTAATGCCTAACAAAAATACTATTTATATCTTTTATCACAATATAACTCCAGTAGGCTTCCCTCAAATATAGGTTTCGAGGATAGCATTCTGAAATTATAATCTTATATATTTAATATTTTATATAAGAATAATCAGAATATTATAATATTATAATTCCCTGTACTTAAAATTTACCTTAAATAATAAGTAACCTTAAAATAATGTGTTTTGATCAATTTTCATAAATGCAATAGTATAAAGTATTTTCAATTGAATATACGAGTAAGTGAATCTCCTTTTGTATTTTCCTTTACAAAAAAAATGAGTATTTATCAGTCTAAAACTTAGAATTATAAAAATCATAAGAACCTACACATTTTTTTGAAAGTTATACCTTTTATAAGTACCTGATCGCATTAAACATTTTTCTACCATTCAAAATTACTGCTATAATTAGATTATCATAAAAAATCGTTTCGAATGACAAAAAAATTACATTGATTAAGTATCTCATCAACAATATTTCAAATTTAGAATTAACGTGCATACTAGCCATTATGTGTTCGTGAGGCATTTGTTACTTTTTGCATAGTGTCATCCCTAAATCTATTTAAAGCGTCAACAGTTGTTTGTAAAATACCAAGACCAAGTCTAAACTTAAAGTCTACTAATCTCTGTAAGAAGTTTAAGAATCCACCCTGCTGATTTAAAGGGGGGTATGTGACAATTTCTGGATCATTCCAAGGTTTTGACGTAGTTGCTGGCTTGTCAGTTGAAACTGGTACTGTAGGCATAGTTGATGTTGTTTCAGATTTTAAATCAGTCGTTGTCTCAGTCATCATACTTTGTACAGTCGATGTGGGCGAGTTGATTGGACTGTTGCGCTCTGTTACTTCAGTATTCCTTGAAGGGAACACTTCATACACTTTAAACGTTTTTGTCGTAGTTTCCATTTCATTAGACATATCAGGTTCTGTCGTTTTATCGTTTTTACTATTAACTGGAATCGTTGACACGCTCTCTACAACCTCAATCTTATCAGTAGTGGCTTCATTTAATTTAGCGTCTTTCTCTGATTCTGATAGAGCAAAAACTTCGGTGACATCTTTAGGAAAAACCGTGGTGTCATCAACATTATTAGCAGCAAGGTTTCTGACAGGGTTATTAATATTGTAAACGTCATCAATCTCATTACTTATGAAGATGTCTCTGTTTCCCTTTTCAGCCAAAAGCTCTTCCAGGGAACCCGAAATACTACGCTTCTTCCTTAAATTTCTTGGACCGTGTTCCGGTACAACTGCAGGTGTAGCCGAGTCAACTAACTCCTTGGGAACATTTCCCACTACAAATTTATTGTCGCTAGATTCAGAACTTGCTTCACTGCCGCTTGTATTGTCATCATATTTTTCTTCTTGATTATCTGAATCGTTATTAGATCCCAAATACATAGACGTTGGAGGATAAGTCACTGAACTACTAGTAGTTTCACTAAAGAACTGACCTTCAAATGGGTATACAGGTTTGAAATCAGATTCAGCTGCTGGCTTTACACCATACACAACTGAGTTGGAATTCTCATTACCATAAGCTGAAATGCCTGTCGGACCAGTTTGTGGAGCAGCGTATATAGGTTCTACCGCTGGGTATGGAGTATAATTTGGTTGTTGAGGTTTCTCATAATTGTATTTTCCTTCCGTCGTATAAGCATGTCTAGTTTCGTAGTGAGGACTGTAGCTAATTGGCTTCGAATAAACAGCAGCATGAGCTATTCCAGTTTTTTGTTGAGCGTAATGTACCTTGCCATAATTGGGATTAGGCTTATAACCAGTGGCAACTTGTCTATATCTAATATCTTGTTCTTTTTTTACTGGATAACGACTTGTGTACGCAGTTTGTCCAGCATAAGGGTTCAACTTTTGTTTGGCGTGGGCGGGCATTCCAGCTAAAACTGTACCCAGCATTTCTTCTTCAGCTTGACCATTTCCGTCATTAGCATATTCCTCAGCATTGTTTCTGTAAATATCGTCATTCTTGTCTACTTCAAACGTCCTACGAACTGGAGTTGCAAATGGATACAAGAAGTAACCAGCAATACCTACTAAACTAGCCAAGCCTAACATACCTACTCCCACAGATGGCATCACTTCTCTAGACAAATAGTTATAGATTTGTGTAGTGATAGCCCCAGTTGGTGCAGCAGCCGGTTTTTTCGCATTCTTATTTGACTTAGTTTTGTTTGAGGTTTTGACATCGGAGATAGCGACTTCTGTGCTTGGTTTAGGTGTAGAGGTTTTACGCTTCTTAGTCTTGTTCTTCTTTCTTGTTGAGCTTCTTTTAGGTTTCTTGGTTGTAGTTGCCGGAGTGCTTACTTCCAGCTCAATTTCTTGCTCTTTTGCTTCTGTAGGTAGCAATGCTGAGTCGCTAATGACGGGAGGTGCTAAGGTAGTAGTAGTTTTTTGTTTATTCTTGTTCTTTTTCTTAGGTTTTGAAGTCACTGTTACTGTTACTGGCGTTACGATAGGGATTTTAGTTTCCTTTTTCGTTGTTGGTGCTTCGGTGGTGGTAGTAGTGGTAGTTGTTGTTGTGGTTGTAGTTGTCGTAGCTGGACGAACTGAAGTGTTCTTGTTTTTCTGGACATTAGACAACACTGTATCCTTAATCTTATTATAGACATTCTCGTTGATAGCCGATCCACTGGCAACCAAGTCAGCTTTGTTAGTGCTGCCAATTATAGGACGTTTAGGTATTTTATTATTCTGAGGACGTTTGGGTTTGTTCTTTGAAACAGCGGGCTTAGGTTTCTTTGTGATTTCCTCTACTTTTGACGACTCAGTAGTAACGTTTTCCTTGGCTGAATTGCTCAATGAAATCCAAGTGGAAATGCCTTCATTGGAGGTCGAAGACTCACTAGGCTCGTTTATTTTGTTCTCTGTGTCCAATTCTTCGATCGTGACAGGAACTGCCACACCAGGGTGAGCATTCTCGTACTCTTCGCCATTTTCATTTCTCGTTTTTATTCTGTGTTTGACTTGAGTTTTTAGTTTGGGTGGTATTCTGGTGTCAGCTATAACTGGCGTTTCAGCTGTAGTGTTGGGTTTGTCGAGTAGTTGAATTGCGACCATTTCCATGGATTCTCGTATCGGGGTCTTTGTTTTGACATCTCTAGAAGAGCTCTCAGGAATTGGTGTGACTGTCTGATGAGTCTGGGTGGCTTCAGCATTCGTTTGGTAAGTCCTGAAAAAACATAAGATAATAGTGTTACTAAACTTAAAGTAATACTATACGAGGACATGAAAAAAACTATCGTTTTATACTGACAAAGTTGCCAAATATAAGAACGTGAGAGCAAAAAGAAAATAATAAGAATTACTGATTGGACCCCATACGTTGACTAAATAGACATTAAAAATAAAAAAAAATTGACCTTTATGACAATGACATTTAATGTAGATTTAATATATAGTTGTAAATGTATTAGATAAAACTAATAACGTGTCAGTATATCTATGCCTGCTTTTTATAAGGTATATTTGGGTCTGACTCAGGTGCGTAGTACGTACACAAATTTTCCGATTTCGAAATTCTCGCATAGAAAATCATCTAGCCAATGTTTATATGCTAATTTAATCTTCGCACAGTTATGGTGAGTGCATGAATATCAAATTAGTATATTAATAAACATTATTAACTCCACCGAAGTGAAGCTGTCAAAAATATGACAGACTCATTTGAGTGTTCCCCTCCACGGAAATCTTTAGTAAAAGGCGAAAGATTTATACGTTTTGAAGGGAAACCAGAGTTATAGTTACGGCAAATACCGGCGGACCCAACTAAACCGCGGAGAATCTTAACACCGCGATTCAGAAAGTGACGTCAGAGGAAAGCGACATCTGTTGGTCAAATTTTTAATAATATTTTTTTTAAATAGCTAGCTGAAGCCACAGATACAGTTTTGTTCCTTGTAAAATTACAAATGTCACTAGTTTGAAGAGCATTTTGTGAATAAAAGAAAGACAATGTGTTTTTTTGTATTTAAAATACACGTACGTTATCAACCAAAACAAGCTAAGGTTGTCCGACCATTTAGTACCTACCTACTACTTATCATGTCTTATTTATTACCTAATTTTATTTATGACTAGCTACTCTCGCGCGGTGGCACCCGCTGCTCGGCTCCATTAGATTTGTGTATATGGATTGTACGTTTACATGCATTACTATTCATAAATTTTCAGATTTCGAAATCCTCGCATAAATTAATCTTCGTACAGTTATGGTACCTGTTAATAAACATTATTAACTCCACCGAAGTGAAGCTGTCAAAAATATTGCAGACTCATTTGAGTGTTCCCCTCCACGGAAATCTTTAGTAAAAGGCGAAAGATTTATACGTTTTGAAGGGAAACTAGAGCTATCGTGACATAGAATACCGGCCGACCCAACTAAACCGCGGAGAAACTTAACACCGTGATTCAGAAAGTGACGTCACAGAACAGCGCCATCTGTTAGCCCAAATTACAACCAATTATTTTTATTTACAACATCAATGGCTGATAAAAAGTTCGCATCACCTACTAAATTAATTGGGAAAAAATCCTTATGTTAGTATACTACCAAGCCTTACTTATTTCCTTTATTTTCATCTATCATTTGATAACTCTTTAAATTATGAAGGTTTTAGTGGGATGCGTATAATATGTGTCTGATGGGTGCCGAGTTAATAGGTTGCTTAGGGTAGGCGTGCTCCATCGCAGGGCGTATCATCACTTACCATCAGGCGTGATAGCGGTCAGATGCCTGCCATTACAAAAATATTTAAAAAAAATGTTATTTTAAAACTAAACTAAAAATAAAATAATAATAGTAGAGGTTAACAATACAGGATATTTTTTTTTTATTAGGTTCATATTTTCTTCCTAATATTAATATACTTTGATTACTAAGTACCTTCTTCTAAGTAAGTATTTTGTGTTCACTTCTCCCCGACATATTTTTTATTCATACAATAATTTGTTGTTTTTTATTATTATAGGTAATGCTCTAAATCACACTGCCCTAAAATTGCAAAATTTCAAATTCATAAATGCACACGATGCAGTGAATTGCCAACCTTCTTAAGTCATTAATACATCCATTTTTTTTTTTGTATCAGGATCGCCATTACTCCCTACTCCTTACGAAGTATGAGTTTATACAATACTATCTATATCCCCATTGTTACTGTTACAAAGCTTGTAATAAATCTGATGCAAAAACTGGATCTCCAGGTGCGTCGAAATGCGCGGACGGCGTGTAAGTGTAGCTCGCCGCCCGACCAGAACCAGACCCGAGCGTAAGGCGCGTAGCGTTTCGCGCTATAGGACTGTTCAGCCGGGGTTGCGAGTTAAGCGCAATGAGTCACCGCGGCCTCGGCCTAGAGCAGGAGAAGGAACGGGGGTGTTTTTAGTTAGTAAGAGTCTGATACTCTCACATAACCCTGGGCGGGAGAAATCATTTGATGATTTTCCCCTGACAAGAAAAAAAATGCATCGAAATACTTTAAGAGATTATTCCTAAGTTTTTTTAACTTGACAATATTGAGTCATTGTTTACAAGTCCCGAATAATTTATTAATATACATATAATTTAATGTCTTCTCAAAATTAAATTCTGGGGTTTATTTTAAGGACTGTATTGATTGATCTTAGTACAATCCTTGAGGAATTTACGAAATTTTCACGAAATTTTATCAATAATTTTCTATCGTAATAAACTCCACCGAAGTGAAGTTGTCAAAAATATTATAGACTCATTTGAGTGTTCCCCTCCACGGAAATCTTTAGTAAAAGGCGAAAGATTTATACGTTTTGAAGGGAAACCAGAGTTACCGTGTCATAAAACACCGGTGGACCCAACTAAACTGCGGAGAATCTTAACACCGCGATTCAGAAAGTGACGTCACAGCATAACGCCATCTGTTGGTATTAATATGGAACTAAAATTTAAATAAGTTCTTTGATACTTGAGATATATTTTAGAATTGAATAAGTATTACCTGTGAGTATTACACTTTTAAGGAGATTTTTCAATAGTCAGATAAATGTTATCTGAGGAATAAAATTGTTTCTGTCACTGTCTTACGCGACAGCATAATAATCTTTCGCCAGAAAACTTTTATCTAACCATTGAAAAATCAGCTCTAAATAACATAATAATACATAATATCATGTAGCCACGTTGTAGAAACAATTTTCTGTTCTGTGCATGTAACAGTTTATATTTAAGAATTGAGTATTTAACGTCACTTTTTTATCTTATTTATCTTCTAAATTATTAATATCTTTAGCAAAGAAATTACAACTAAAATAAAAGATACAACGTAATTCCACTACACATTATTTTATTAGATACTTAGTAAAAAATAATTAATTTGCTTTTATTTATACATATTTGTAGGAATTAAATATTAAAAATTAAATTACTTTATGTAAATAATATTTACATCATATACACATTCTGGTCCTGAAAAATGTAATCTGAATGCAAGTTTTAGCAGGGGTTAGTATCTAGAATACGTCCTCTTAAGATATTGGAATGAATAGTAAGTTTTAAAGTATGCTAAGAACTTAAATTAAACTTAAAACTATTTGAGCAACACGAAATATAAATCTTAATAAATTAATATGAACAAATTAAATAAATAAATAAATACTGAAATAAATTAAAGAGCTTTTAAAATTACACACAGAAAATAATACTGTTATTTGGTCTGGTCTGAACCATACAACTAACGCCATCTATGATGATGGATGAAAATTATCATGCGATAATATTATTGATGGCTTTTCAATATAATTCAATGGGTAATAACCATACGATTAAACATTACCTACTTTACAAAATTAACTAAATTATTACATGTGATTTTTTTTGTTATTCGTAATAATAATAAGACCAAGAATTGAATAAGTATTACCTGTGAGTATTACACTTTTAAGGAGATTTTTCAATAGTCAGATAAATGTTATCTGAGGAATAAAATTGTTTCTGTCACTGTCTTACGCGACAGCATAATAATCTTTCGCCAGAAAACTTTTATCTAACCATTGAAAAATCAGCTCTAAATAACATAATAAAAGACCATATCACATTGTACTGGGATCGGTCTATCATCACAGACAGGACTATTGTAGCCAATAAGCCTGACATAGTGTTGGTAGACCGACTAGCGCGTCGCACGACGATAATCGATGTTACCATTCCTCATGACGAGAACCTCGTGAAAGCTGAGAAAGATAAACAATTGAAATATCTTGACTTAGCTCACGAGGTTGTTGACATGTGGAGTGTGGACTCGGCTATCGTTGTGCCGATAGTTGTGTCGGCAAATGGGTTAGTCCCCAAAAGCCTCGACAACCACCTTAAGAGGCTGACGTTAGGCGGATGGATCAAGGGCCTCATACAGAAGGCAGTCCTCCTTGAAACGGCACGTATTGTGAGGAGGTTCCTGTCTTTGGAGCCCTAACTGCCGGTAGCTTGGACCTTGCTCCCGCTGCCGGCTGGCACCTACTTTTATATTTTTAAATATTATTTTATTTTATTTTATAGTAATATTTAAAAATGTAATTTTAGAGTAATTTTATTAAATATATGGAATAAGAAAATATTTTTGTTAGTGGATCCTTACAGCATCTAAAGTCATTAGTTGTAATGATTATTTCATTGATTTATTTATTGCACGTCTAATAAAATGATTTAACTTAATAGATGAACAACCTACATTCGTGAGCCTTGACAGCACAGCGCTTTCATTATTTTTTCCTGATATCTGATCAACGATAGGCTACGTTTTATTTTTGTATTAAATGCTTTAAGTTGATTAGTACATTTAAGGATTTGTAAAATGAAGTGGCAGTGGGTAGATCACATTTGCCGAAGAACCGATGACCGTTGGGCTACACGTGTTCTAGAGTGGAGACCACGTTCTAGTGCAGGGCGCCGTCCAGCTAGGCGGCAAAAAAATAATGTCCAATTTAGCCCGTTACCTACTACAAAAAATATTACTCAAACACAAGGGGTACCATACTGTCTTGAATCATACCTAATTATGTACAATAATTTATGAATTAAATTGTAATTATCTACACTTCATAAATGCATATGCTTTATGTTGTATGCATAACAACTATTTATGTATTTTTAAGCCGCCTAGTCCAAGCTTCTCTTTTCTTCCTTTTAGTTTTTCTAGCATTCGAAACTATCCGACGATTATGATTCTCTCTCAATATATTTGTAACATTCTTCATCCATTCTTTTACTCTTGAAAATAATGTTGGTTTCAAATCCCCTGTCTTCTCATTACCCTTATTTACTCTTGCCTCACTCATATCAGGAACCAATCTCCTATTATTTGGGAATGAATGTAGCTGCCACGTTTTCAAATCATCATCCCACCGCCACTCAGGTTTATACACATGAATAACTTTTGGAGCTTCCCTAGCATACGGCAAAAACCAAGGAGCAAATAATGCAGCGAAACCCGACCCCGCAAATAATAACCCTAGAGGCGCTAAAATTAAAGGAAAAAAGCCTATGCTTAAAGGATTAATAGTCGCTAGCCAACCTAAAGCGTCTAAAGCTGGTCGAAAGAAATCTACTAGTGATGAAAAGCTAAATAAGTCATCGTCAGAATCTCCTCCACCACCTGGAGCAATAATAGCAGAACTTGGTGATGAAGCAGCTCCAAAATTTGATTCAGCAGATTCGGGCTTGATAACACTATTTGCAGAGTGATAGTTTGCTAATTCTGTGCCCTCAATTGATGCACTCTCAGTATTTCCCTCTTGATTCTCATCAGATTCAAAATAATCTTCGTCTTTTGATGAATCAGTACCTGAGTCGTCACCTAAACCTAAACCAAACCCACCAGGAAATAAACTATCACTCTCTTCCTCTGATTCTATTACAACGTTCTTATTAATAACATTTGTGTTCACTGCAATATTCAGATCTGGGCAGGCTTCTTTAGCCTGGCCTTGAAAAGTATTATTTAAAGTTAGATAAATAGTGGGACAATCTTCAGCATGTGGACTATACTCTTCTGGTCTTATAACAATTCTATCTGTGTATGAATTAGTTGGTTCAAATGTTGATACTTCGTAGTTATTTCCACCATAATTTTGTACATGATTATTATATTCATAATTTGTGGGTCGTGTATTGTAAAATGGTCTTTGTGTTGTTGTTTTACGAGTTACTTGTTGGGTCCACGGTTTTGGATAACCTAAGTTTGTTATTATAGGTGTGGGTGTAGGAATGTTTGTGTGATAGTGTGGCGGTCGTGTGGGACGAGGACGTGGAGTATTAATGACTTGAATGTTTGGGGTGTACACAACATGTTGTGATTCATCTGGGTAAGAATAATGGGGCCGTGGATTATTATTGTACATCATATTGTTATTGTCATTATAATATGGATCATCATACATATCATTGGGAGGCCTTGTATATCTTTTGGCATTCATTTCACTAGAATTTTCAGTGCTTGTGTCATCTTTTAGACTATTACCAATAATTTTCGTCGTACCTTTAACATCAGGGTTTAATGTACTTGTTTCATAGGAAAAATTTAAATCATTTAGTTTAGTTTTATCTCTCCATTTAGTTAAAACTTTCCTGATTGCTGGTTTCTTTCTATCATGAGTTTCATCTTCGATTCTATCAAGTGGTTTTGGTTTGTATTTGTTTTTACGTTCTTCTGAATTAGCACGTATTGAACGGCTTGTTCTGTTGCGAGCTAACTTTATATTACTTGGATTGCTTTCATTATTGATATTTATATTGACGTTACGTTCATCTGTGCTTGGAGTATTTACAAAACTAATGACTTTAGATGCTAACTTAAAACTATTCGAACTTAAATTATTATTTTTATACCTTATTGGTGCATTCGTTGTTTTTTCATTCAGTGCCTTAATTGTAGTTGAAGCGGACACTTCATCTTGAGGTCGCGAATAAACAGACGGACAAACTATAACTACTAATAAAACTAAAGTCCACTTTGAACACACACTTTTTCGCCTCGTCATTATGTTTTTCGCGTACTCTACCTGTAAAAAAAGAGAGGTTATGGTTAGAAAATGATAATTAGATAAAATCACAGGGCAAGTGTATGTGGTTTCCACGGTAAAATGGTGAAAGTGTTACTTTAAAATGTAAATAATACGTGTTTATTATTACCCAAACAAAGTATGGCCTACGTGAGAAAAAGAGAGGTCATTGTATTGCATTTGTAGTTGTGTTGAGTTTGATTGTAGATTATATACTAGTATCACATAAAAATAATCTGCAAACAAAATGAATTTATTCAACGTAAGCAAAAAAAAAGTGTGCCCTATGCTATAGTTATAAGAATCATAAAAGGAGTGTTTCTTTTGTCAAAAATGTATAGATATTGGTAAAAAAATCCAAGTAAAGATCCCTACGGCTAATAATATCCAAAAACCTTCCGTGAATTATAAACAGGTGTAGATATTTTTTATATTTTTATATATTATAATTATTGTTATTATTGTGACAGCGATTTTTTAATAAACCAATAAAGATTTCGAACCACTTTACAACACAAAAAAAACAATCACCATTTTCTCTATAACCTACTTAAAGGACAGAAAAGAAGTCCAACCGAAACAAAGTCCAGTGACCCAAATACAACATTCCAACTCCGATTCAAAATAATAAAAAAAAAACTAGAAAAAACCGGTGGAATCGTAGCAAAAGATGTAAAAAAATCCGTTAACTCATCATTAAGAGGATACCGTTAAGCCGGGCCGCATCTAATATCGGTCAAGGCTATTTGTTTAGGCTTTGTAATTAAGTAAAAACTATAAAACTGTTGATGAGACATTAACTGCCGCACTCAGAAATAATGAATGATAACTTAAAGTATTACTTAGTGACGATTTTATTTCGCTATTTTTTTTATTATCATAGTTATAAATGGGCTGTTTCTTGGTCGTTATCTCGCCTGGTAGTACGCGACGATGCGACCTAGAATGAAGTACATCGACCCTTAACCCGATGTATCTGCGCGGATCCAGGCTAGACACAATGTGTTTTCTATTGTTTGTCATATACCGGCAGGCAGAGGTTAGGCATTATCTCCTAGGCAACCTTTAGGTAGTGCAGAACGGTTTTTTTTGTATCGCATCATTCATTTTGTTTTTTTTTTTTTAGTATTTAGTGTGTTTGTTATCCCAACAGTCAGAGGTCATCTGAAAACCAGTGCTGTGCATTAGCACAGCATATACTGAGATGGACCCCTTGCTACACTATATATTTTTATTTCTGTGTAATGTTTATTTTTGTATGTTTTCAACTTATGCATGTGCAGCTAAATAAATGGTTTAAAATAGCAGATTTACTCCTTCAAATATTTTAAACATAGACACTTAATAAACATAAAACACGACTATTTCCGTCCTGTCTATCACTAGGCTTCTCTCGATAATCATCAAAATGGCCGGCAAGCGAGATTACTATACAAGTGTTCTTATGAACAATCACGAAGGAAAGTCTTTGTTTTCCAAATAAGTGTAATAAAATATTATTTGTCTTCTACCTTATAAGGTCATCAATAAATCAACAATAATTTATATAAACCACATAGCAAAATGAATACTTGTTTTAAACAAAACATGATGTTTGTGTAAAACCGCAAATATTTATTGGAATTCTTTCACCATGTGTGGTTACTATTCAATTTACTGCTAAAACAAAAGCTTAACAACTCTCAAAATGTTTGTGGTTTTGAAGAAAATTTGTTGAAGCACGCAGGACTCGTTGTGTTGCGGTGAGCCATAAAGTTGGGTCAGTCAAAAATAAATTATTTATTATAATAAATGATTTTTCTTTACAATAAAGTATTGAAGAGTTACTCATGCATTCATTTGTTTTATGAGATGTAAGGTAGATATTAGCATTATTAAAAAAAAATCTCAAGAACTCAGTATGCGTACTAAATTAATATGATAAGACAAGACACAAAGAAAACCGAAAATTTTGAATTTTAATTACTAGGAAAACGAATTGAGTTTCAATTGATTTCAAGTTAGAAATTATACGTTCAGATTTCCTGACGATGTTTTAATTCACCTATCATCTGTTCTGTCTTTTTTTTATGTGATATGACGGCAAACGAGCATACGGATTACCCGATGGTAAGCAATCGGCGTCGCCCATGGACACCCGCAACAAAGAAGGAATTACGAGTGCGTTGGCGCGCTTTTAAGGATTAGGATTTTGGGGATTTTGGGATTGGGAAGGGATTGGGATTGGGGAAGGATTGGGCCTCCGGTAACCTCACTCACACGGCGAAACACAACGTTGTGGTTGTTTCACGTCGGTTGTCTGTGAGGCCGTCCACTCTTTGCCACACTTAGAAAAAGTGTCTAAATATTCTTAGAAGAATATATACCTTCACGAGATATTATTATGTTTTCATTAAACTACTTTTTCTAACCTATGACTAAGATTTAAGGAAAATAATATTTCTTTGAATTCAACTTTCTAGGTATTAGTCATTTAACGTGGCCTAGTCAAGTATAAGTCTCCGTTGATGACTAAATTATGTATATTAATTGCAAATTATTGCTTTTCCTATTAGTCTACATTTATTATAAATAATTTTGAACTGTGAAAGGATTTAATATCTAGGTCAAGTAAAAAATTAAATATGAATCAATAAAAAATTTTAGTCTTATTTATCGTAGCAAATTATTTCCTATCATTAGTAATATCATCAGTTATATGGGTTTAAGAACAACCCTGGTACTGGAGATAGACTAACATCTCTGGTGAGGAATTTTGAACAAAATAAACATGTAGATGACACACATTATCCGATTAAACTAATCTTATTTAAAGATAATTACAAAAAAAACGATAGGCCGGCTACCAATAACATCTTAAATATCTTAATATTTATTTATAACCTTACACATACAATATCATATCTTACCACATAACGTTATAGTACGAAGGATATTATTAAATAAAAGTAAATCGAGTACATTATTTTTATGGGCGAAAATCTATGGGCAATACTATTACGCGATCCCGACTCATAGCAAGAGAACCGGAATGGTTTTAAGCCAGTAAAAGTCTCAAACTTGATCCCATCTTTCCCCCGTCGAAATAGAAACATGGGAAAGAAACCTACACATACTTAACTGTGTTATGTGTAGATAATATTTTATGGAATTTTTAAGTCCCAGATCAGTTACATTACGGTATTTTTCTATGTGTTTTATAGTGACGTCTATTTACAAATAGACGTTAGGCACGTATGTACTTGTACCTACTAATATTTGTACAAACAAGCCAATATAAGCCTTAAATGGTAGTTTAAATATTTGGTAAACAGGTTTGTATTTTTTTCTTGTTAAGGTCAATTTCCTGTGAAAGGATATTCTAAGGAACGTTTTGATTTACTTAATAATAAAGATTAATTCTACAAAGTTTAGCTTCTAGAAACAATTGTTTTCGAGTTGAGAAAAACCTGTACTAAAATGAACATTCATTTCTATGGCGGATTCTGCTAGACTGAATATCCCTTCATAAAGCATAAGTTGATTGTGATTAAGTATGGTGTACTTAAGTTTGTGTGCTGAGCAAAAGCCTGTGCTCACACGGAGAAGATTTGGGTGTTTATCACCACGCTTGCACTAAGCTCACGGCGAAACACAAGTGCTCACTTGTGTTTGACACAAGTGGTCACTTGTGTTTCACCGTGTGAGTGAGGTTACCGAAGGCCCAATCCCTTCCCTTCCCCTATCCCTTCCCGATCCTTATATCCGCAACCCCTGTTCCCAAAAAGCCAGCAACGCAGTCGTAACTCCTTTGGTGTTGCGGGTGTCCATGGGCGACGCCGATTGCTTACCATCAGGTAATCCGTCTGGTCGTTTGCCAACTTATACCATAATAAAGATAGCAAATTTAAACTTAGAAATTGTACTCAAATTCAAATTTCAACCATCTTGTTTTCCCAAATGGAGTTGCAGATCAATAAGATCCAATAATATACCGCGGCCCCATCCCGAAAGAGGAAAAGTAACGGGGTAGTTTTTAGTCAGTAAGAGTCTGTCACTCCCTTTTGCCCCACAGAGGGCGAGGGAAGACATTTGAAGATATGGTCCGCTCAAAAGAAAATACTGTTTTGCTATCCCTGTTCATGAAATATAGCATGATGAAAGAAAGACTGGCAATATAATTATATTCTCAGTTGTAAGTTTCCCGTTTTTCACACTTCAAAACCTGCATAAATTTAAAAAAACTTAATTGGTTAGCCTCTAGAACATAACATTAAGTAGCTAGATATTTGTTATCAGATTCTCGTGAGAAGTACCTACTCATGAATTATATTGATGGCTGCATTCTTAAGATCATTGATAAGTCATGGTACGGTAATTAAAATGTAATTTGCTTTTATTCTGCATAAATAATGAAGATAAAACTAAGCATATTTTAACGCAAGCTACAATAAAAATCGCTGAAAAGAACAGGTAGTTAATTATTTTTTTAAACCGCACAAATATAAAACGTCATAATTTGTGAACACAATATTATGTACACGTGATAGACTGTCAGTTCAGACATTAAAAATGCGTTTAGCATTAGGAATAATTATCAAAATAAACGCATAAGAAAAAATTGGGTATTTTCTTATCATTTACACGTACGTATAATTAGAAAATTCTGGATATTATCCTGTGGTAATTTAAATGATAAATATGAAAGGAGAATGTAAAATAGGTGTTACAACGTCTTTTAAGAAAAAAATCTCAAGCACTCCGAATAAACAAGTTTGTACTACGCCAGAAAGAGACAGCAGACCATTTAAGGTCAATGACCGTACGGCCATGACCGACTAGATTCGTCCACTAGCACTACTGGCCTAGTTGTAGCATGAAGGTGCACGTTCGAATTTTGATGTTTAAAATTTAATGTTCTTATTTTTAATTTAAATATTTAAACAAAATAATAAAGGCACAATTTTGAGTAAATAATTTTGTGAACATTTCCATAAATT